TTAAGACAGAAAAAACTGCCTAGTCTAAAAGCCTATTGTCTCCTTAACACAGTAAATAAATGTTTTGTGCACTCCAAGTTATTGCAAGTTAAAGAAAGTTAAAAAAATCAACAAAGAAACTTTGCTGCTTTGCGGCAAACTCTAATTTACATCCTCAAGTACTCAAACCTGACCTTAGTTAAGAGCTTAATGAACATGTCAACTAGCTGAATTCTGAGCTGCAATGAACCACTGCAATTTCCTTGTCCTGCTGCAGTTCCCTAAAAAAGTGAAACTTGATCCTGAAGTGCTTCATTCTTCTATGTGACATTGGATTTTTTGCAATTGCAACAGCATTATCACACCTTATCTCTGTTGCCTCCTCTTGAGTAAGATTCAAATCACTCAATAATTTTCTCAACCAAATTACTTGGTTGATGGCAGCGACAACTGCAATATACTCAGATTCTGCAGTGGTCTGAGCAACAGTGTCCTACTTCTTTGAATTCCATGTAAATCCATCATAACCAAGAGCGAACGAGTACCATGAAGTGCTCGTCATGTCATCACAAGAGCCAGCACAATCACTGTCGGTAAAACCAAACCAGTTTAGTTCTATTGACTTCTTGAACCACTCACCGAAATCAATTGTGCCTTTAACATATCTGAGCGCCCTCTTAGCTGACTTAATATGCATCGAACTTGCATCATACATAAATCTAGTGAGCAAACTAATTCCATACATAATTTCAGGCCTGGTTGCAGTCAAATACTACAAACAGCCAATCATGATTCCATAGGTCTTCTCATCAAATTTCTCAAAACCATCTTCTTTGCTAAGCTTTTCACCTTGAGCTATAGTTATGCTCATTGGTTCACAGCTCTCCATATGAAATTTCTTCAGCATTTGCTTTGACTACTTTTGATGGGCAATTAAAAAACCAGATTGAGATTGAAGAATTTCCATCCTAAGAAAATAAGTCATCTGATCAGCAAGATCAGTCATGTCAAAAACTTTCATCATTAGCTCTTTACACTTTTGCACAAAGATTTGGCTGCTGTAGTCACTAGAAAATAATCCACATAAAGTGAAAAAATCAACAAATCTTCGATTTCAGAGTTCTTTACATACAAAGTTGGCTCACTAACATTTCCGTTGAATCCAAACTGTAACAGATGCTTCCCAATTTTGTCATACCAGGCTTTTGGTGCCTATTTTGATCCACACAAGGCCTTATTGAGCTGGTAGACCTTATGTTTTTTGCCCTTCACAACAAATCCTTCAAACTGCTCAACGCATATCTCCTCTTTAAAGGAAACATTCAGGAAAGCAGATATCGCATCAAGCTGATGAATTCTGTACTCCTTTTAAACTGCCAAAGCTAACAGAGGTCTTATAGTGTCAAGCCTTGCTACTAGTGCAAAGGCCTTTGAAAAACCAACTCCATATTGCTAAGCGTATCCCTTCCCCACTAGCCTTGCCTTTAATCTATTAACAAAACGACCAGTATTAAGTTTGGTTATGAACTCCTACTTTCTCCAATTACATTCTTATGACTTGGGCTGTCGACAAGCTCCCAAGTCTGATTCTTTTCAATCATCTTCAACTCTCCTGCATAGCTTCCTTCTAGCCAGCTAACTTAACAGCTTCTTCAAAGTGAGTTGGCTCAAACACAACAGAGTTGCATCTGTCATATGTTTCGGCATGTGATCTGATGCTTCTCACAGGATAATCTTCATCTGACTCATCATCTATTTTATCTGTTTCTTGCTCTTGTGATGCTCCCAACTCAGTTGATTTTAGCTTTCCAAATTTAACTTGTGATTTTTTGAATTCCAAGCTGCATTTTCATCAAATTTTACATTTCCGCTCACAATCACCTTTTCAGTGAGAGGATTCTAAACTTTGTACCCTTCTGTATTACTACTGTAACCAAAAAGGCAACAAAGATGCCTACTTACTCTGTCAAGCTTATCACTTTTAATCTCTAAAATGTGAGCATAGCAAATGCATCCAACCTCATGTCCTGTGTTGAAGGCTTGACTCCAAACCATGCTTCAAAAGAAGTCTTACCCTTTAATGCTTTTTGTAGGAAGGCTGTTAGGCAAAATATATATAGGTGTTGACAGCGTCTAAAAACTTCTGTGGAATATTTCTTTTAAACATCAAACATCTGGCCATCTCCATCTCTGTTTTGTTCTTCCTTTCACTCACCCCATTTTGTTATGGACTCTAAGTGACGGTCACTTGATGCTCAATGCATAAGACTCCTTAAATCTGTTTGAGATGTATTCAGTCCCATTGTCAGACCTGATCACCTTCATTTTGCAGCCAGACTGATTTTTGCTCCAAGCTTTGAATTTCCAAAAAAATCCCAGCAACTTATGATTTTTGCTTCAAAAATTAAACCAAGCTCATCCTGGTGAAATCATCTATAGAAAAGATGATACTTGCTCCCATTTAAAGATAAAGTCTCATGGGGCCACAAACACCAGTATGCATAAGTTGTATCTTTTCTGATGCTCTCCAAACTTGATTAGCAGAGAATGGCTACATGTTTTGCTTTCCCAATTGGTATACTTCACATACATCATCATGTTCATGAATTGGTGATAACTTCATATCCAGTTTATGCTTCTGCAGATGGCTTAGAGAATGATAATTAACACGACTCATTCTTTTGTGTCACAAAGATGGCATGTCAATAGAATTAGCATATGCTTCAAAAGTAGTTGAACCCAATTCACAACAAAGCTTCCATTTTTAATCATCACGGGCATTAATTCATAATCTGCAGGGTCAGAAATCACACAAGATTTATCCTAAAACACCAAAGATTAATTCTTCTCAAACAACTGACCAACACTTAACAGGTTCTGTTCAATTTCAGGCACAAATAAAACATCAGAAATAATTTTTGTATCTGAAGCAATCTCAATAGTCACATCACGTTTCCCTTTTGGCTTCAATGAAATCTTCGTTGCCAATTCTGATTTTTGAAGTGCAAGTTCTGTCAAGCACCTTGAACATGCCTTTATCAGAAACCATGTGATGTGTACAGCCACTATCAACCAACCAGTTTACCTTGTATCTACTACTGCTAGAATAGAATGCTAAAACAAAAATATGCTCCTCCTGTTGCTGATTATTGTCAACAATCAAAGCTTGGACACTCGGTTGTTGTTGGCCCATTTTCTTGCAAACACTTTCCATATACCCCATTTGTTAGCATGACCTACAATCAATGTTAGGAAACCATGTGATGTGTGCAGCCACTATCAGTCAACCAGTTTACCTTGTGTCTGCTACTGCTAGAATAGAATGCTAAAACAAAAATATGCTCCTGTTGCTGATTATTGTCAACAATCAAAGCTTGGACAGTCGGTTGTTTTTGGCCCATTTTCTTGCAAACACTTTCCGTATGCCCCGTTTGTTTGCCTGATCTACAATCAATGTTAGGTATGTACCAACAGTACCTTTCCAGATGAGTTGTTTTCTTATAGCGTGAGCATGGTGGATATTTCTTCTTTCCACCATCTTCATTACTTTCCCTTTCTTTGTTCTGTTTCTCCCTTTTGTCACCAAAGTTCTTTTTGCCCTTACCACCTGAAATAAGACTTCTCTTTGTTTTTTGACTTGAGCATAAAGAGCATCGATCAGTTCTGACAAGGATATGCTCGACGATAAGTCTCTTGAATCTTCAACAACCCTCTTATCTTAGAACTCATCTCCAAGCAACCTAATGTTGCTAACAACAGGCATGATCCTATCAGAGTAATGCTTCACATTTCTCTGTCTTTCATCTTCAAGTTCTCAAAATCACTATTGAGAGTTATAATATGCTATACTTTTGAGAGTTGTAATATGCTATGGTCTGGTCTTCTCTATGCCTTGAAACTCCACCTTAAGCTTGTCTCACCATTGTTTTCGATAATCACAAGTCATGATCCTTGTGAAGATCACATGGTACACGCCAATTTGGATGCAATGATGCTAAAATATCTTTTATATAAATGTAAGTGTAAAAAACATTAAAAAAAAATCCATCAGATCAATTTTATTTGTGATAATATATGTAATGATACAAAATTCTACATTCATTACTATTTAACTTTACAGTAGTCATTATTATAATTTAAATTAATGCCTTTTTCTCTTTTTTTTTTTTTTATCTTTTCTTTCATTGATTTCTTCTTTATATATTTTTCCTAAGTTTCAATTATTATTATTCAAATGACTTATTTATTATTACGATTTTTTACTATGGTATGGTTGAACGGATTTTAAAAAATATTTAAATAATAAATTTATTTTTTATCTAAGAAAAATAAAGCAAAGAAAAAATGAGAAAAGATAGATTATGTTAATTTACTTTTGTTCATTTTTTATGTTTTTTTTTTAACATTTATCTGCAAAAAAAAAATTTAAAAGTGAGAATATAGAAATAAAAATAAATCATTAAAAAATAAAATCAAAATGAAAACATAGGAAAAAGATAAAAAAAAAAAGAAAAAAAGGAAGCAACATAAGGATTAATGGGATTTTTATCGACATTTGGCAATCAAGGAATCACGTGAGAATCCTTTAATCTAGTAGTGTACGTAAGGCTTAAAATATAGTATTTATAGACACTTTAAAGATTAAAAAATAAAAAAAAAATTAACATGTCTTACAAACGTCTTAAAATTTTTTCTTGAATACTATTTTCGACGCGAGAATTGATAAATACAATTACAGTTCTTGATTTAAATGATTATTTAGTTATATATTTAATAATATTAATAATAATGCAATAATTTTATTTTTCGAGAAGTTATTTAGGATAATTATAATATTATATCAATATTTTATTTTTATTTTTTGTTTACAATTTATATATATATATATATAATAAATGAACAATTAAAAAAAAAAAAGGATCTTCCGATACTTTAACCTGTAAGTGTGGAGAAATTTAAGTTTGAAGTATAGATATAGAAATATAGAAGTTTATATATATTTAGTACGGCAGGACAGACTGACAGCCCTGAGCAGAGGAAAAATTTCGGTCCTCCTAAAACCATAATCGAACACGTATAATAAAAAAACCAATAACCTTTCGACCGCTCTATATTAACTCCTCCCAACAGCCAACCCAAATTCCCAAATCACATAAAAACCCTAAAACTTCCCCACCTGTTTTTACCTATTCTACTCTCATATTTAAATAAGTCGAATTACTGCCAAAATCCAGGGGTTTGCACTTGGGGTTTGGGGCTGGGATTTTAGAGAAACCAACTCGTTTGATTCTTTGAAAACAATTGAGAAATGGCGACAACGACGGCATCTACGACGGGACAGGTGAACGCGAAGAGAAAGCCGGTGTTTGTGAAAGTGGAGGATTTAAAGCCCGGTACGAGTGGGCACACTTTGATCGTAAAAGTGGTGGAATCGACCCCAGTCAAGACTTCCCAGAGGCCTAACAGGGACCGTGCTCTCCTATCCCGACCCGCCCCTCCGGCGCGGATCGCTGAGAGCGTTGTCGGGGACGAGACTGGCACCATCATCTTCACTGCACGCAATGAACAGGGTATTAGTTTTCTCTACCAAGTTGTATACATATTTTTCCATAGAAATTGATAGCCTCTCTATATTAATAGATTTTATTTGGTATGGGTTTTTATTGATCCAGTGCTATATTTCACGATAAAGCAAAATTGGTCGTAAAGACATTTCTATTTTTTCTAGAATACTGCAAATATTTTACATTTGGTTAACCAATTTTTTGTTTTGTTGTGAGTTCATTTGTAGAATAGTTTTCAGCTTTGAATATTTTGGATTTGATCTAGAGCAGGGGTAGTATTTTCAAGGAAAGAATATGGTGACCAAGGCTTAATTGAATTGAGCAATAGAATAGCGTTGTTCTTGCATATGGTGATTTTGGTCGTAGTAAAATGATGATGTTTTAATCTGATGCAGTTGACCTTATGAAGCATGGTGCAACTCTGATTTTACGTAATGCTAAGATTGTTATGTTCAAGCGAACAACAATGAGGCTAGCAGTTGACAAATGGGGACGAATCGAGGTCACTGAACCTGCTAAATTTGCTGTTAGAGAAGATAACAATCTTTCTTTAGTTGAATATGAACTTGTTACTGTTTCTGATCAGGGTATGAATTAAGGGCTGTGACTATGAGTGAATGGATATATTTTTCAAGGGAGTGAAAGCAACCTTGGGGCTTGATTCTTGGTTTTGTGTCATGAACAATCACTTGAGATGCTGTTTTTATTGGTATGGGACACATTTCATTGTTGGTTTTTCTTTTGCCTTATATATACTGTGATGATCAGCTTAAATTTGGAAAAGTTAATAGTAATTAAATACTATTATTCACTTGACTTTCTCATTGATGGTGGTATATGCTCTAACTAGAATGCTCTCCTTCTTTGAACTTTGACTGAGGAAAGAAAATGTCAAAACTTTTGCTATGTAAAGTCTGAAACAACGCAAGATGAAAAGCAACCAAAATTGTTGCCTGGGCTGGTAATCATATCACTGCAGGTGCAGGTCTCAAGGATATCAAACTTCCTTGACCATGGTAGCTAGATTGGTGCACTTTGCATTTCAGCCTTCTAGAATACAAGAACAAATTGTGAGTGGTTACATTTTTGGTAGAGCTACGATGCAAAGTCACAAAACCAGATTGCCTGAGAAATGGGGTGAACCATAGATTGTTAAGTTGGTAAGAGAACAAAGTTAAGTCTAGAATTTATACAGAAATCATGAATAATCATGAAAGTGGGAAAAAAAAATACTTCTAGAAGTTGGAAAGTTATGAGAACAAGGACAACAAGAAGTGAATAGAAAGAAATTGAACACGGTCATACCCCGGCTGGCATTGGCTAACATTAGGAGGGGATTAGTGCTAACCTGGAGAGTTATCTAGTACAGCTACATTTCACTCCAATATTAATCAATCTTCAGATATATCTATATGATAACAATCAGGGCAATGCCAGGCATATTACGAACCCAAAATTAGAAATATAAAACAGTAAAATACAAGCCAAAAGTCAAAATACACTATTTTTTAAACGGGAAAATAGTAGTCAAAAAGTCTTTTTACATTCCTTCAGCTAAAGTCAGAAACAATGAGAAAAGAAAGTTTAACAATTGAATTGTCTGTTTACCCTGGTCAATATTCATTTAAAAGTTGAATCTTTTTCAGGCATCATTCTCTTTAAAAGACAACTTTTAAACAAGCTTCTCTCAGCACTATCTGACATTCATCAAGCATCATTTTCGTCGAGTATGATGCTTTAAAATCATATTAACGTCAACAACTAAAATAAAGGTAAATTTGAGAAAAGCCATCTTGAATCAATAATTTGTAATACATTTTTGCACTCAATATCTATAAGCTAGAAAAGGCAATAGAAAGTTGACATAGAGTATTAGCACTTCTTAGGATTCAAGAGTAATGTCATCTACCGGTCGATCAAGCATTGAAAGCTTAGGGAATTCAACTTTGCTCTTTATCAGCTCATTGAGAACTTCTATTTTAAATGCAGACACTCTCTTAGAAGGGAGAATTGTGTCCATTAAACTTGCTCCAATCCTCTGAACATTAGTCACACATCATCATTGAAAGCTGATCGAATAGAAATTATCAGTAAGCACTTTATCAGTTGCATTGAATCTATTTTTATACAAATTTCAAATACCTGAAATATTTACATCAAATATTTAGACTAAAAGTGCATCAAGATTCACACCTCGAAGCAACAGATCTGAAACTTTACAATGCAAAAGAGGCAATCTGGGCTAATGCATAATTTACATATTATATTGTTGAAGCATATGGAATTAAAACATAGTAGTGCTTATATTTTATCAACACCTCTCAGGTTAGTTGCTCAGTTGAACCGTCTCAGCAATTTTCAGCAATAGCCTCAAATAGAAAATTGACCAAGACAAAGAACCCTTGTATTTAGATAATCGATGAGTGTTTTGTTGGCTGCTTGACCAGGGGACACATAGGCAAAGGCAGTTTTTCTAAAATGGCAGTGTAGTAAGCATGTCAAGAACTCCATGAATAGCACTCACTCGTCACAAATATGAAGGGCTACACATACAGAGATATAAGAAGATGCATACAGTTATATCATTGTCGTCTCCTAACAAAAGAACTGATAAGCTTCTTATCAAAATGGATAGGGTGGTAAAAGTAAACACACATAACCTTTATAGGGGAGCATCCAACTGAAAGCCTTAAAATACTTGAGACAAATCACAACTTAAACATTAACTCTCAATTTATATTGCGCTTAATCAATACTTGGAAGTAATAAGCATACTACACCTAGTCTATAGATAATGCAATGCCTAGCTCTAAAGTTCGAAAATATTTATGTAAGTCCAAGTCATTCCATCTTGCTTCTTGATCTTCATCTAGTCTTGTCTTGGCCTACAACGAGAAAAGAGCAGCATACACCTTTTTTTATTAAAAAGAGTAGGGAAGTAGGGAAGTTAATAGAATGTTGTCTCAATTTTTCTGAGATATCATTTATGACTGAACCACATGAAAACCAAACTGATTCTTTCCTAAGACTACAACCAGAAAACAATCTCTTTTTGGCTAAAGGGTAAACAAGGCACCTGAACTATAATTCAATAATCATTTAAGCCCCTAATATTTTACTACAATCAATCAAGTCCTTAATCTTTTATTTTGGCCCAATTATTCTACCCATTAAAGGGTTTAATTGGGCAAAAAATAGAAGATTAAAGGTTAATTGATTGCAATAAAATGTTACGGTTTTAAATAGTTATTGAATTATAGTTCCAAGGCATTTTTTTTACCCTTTAGCCTTTCTTTTTACTTTTCTAGGACAAAATTAACGAAGTACCCTGGAGATGCTACATTACCAGAAATCAAAAGGAAGAATAGAACATCAATGTAATCCTATCCTAGATACCTAATTCAAGAATGAAATATCCAATGGTTAGACAAAATACAAGAAAAAGCAATAGTATTACAACTGGGGGTGTGATCGATCAAGTTCGAGTCAATACAGCATTCAGCCCGAGCTCAACTCCAAATTTGAGGGTCGAAACTTGGCTCCAACTCAATTTGATATAAAAATCAAACTACTTTAACTCACTCAATTTGACTCAATTAACATGTAAAAATAAGCTTGATTTTTATATTCGACAAAAACTCAATTATTTGTCTTCGAGCTCGAACTCGAGTTCGAGATATTTTATTAATTAAAATATATTAAAATATTAAAACTCGATTAAACTCGTGAGTTATTCGAGCCGAATATAAAATACTTAAACTTGGTTCGATCGATAAGTTGAGTTATTTGAGTTCGACTTGATAATAGCCGAACTGAATTCGAGTTTCATTCAAGTCGAATCCGAATAGTTTGCGAGTAATAATTTATCATTTTCATCCCTGATGACAACTTCTCTATCAAACACAAGAAAACAGACGAGAAATATATTTCTATACCGTTCCTATTGTGTCACATTTCAATACTCAAATACACCCAAATTCTACATATTGGTTTCTTAAACTACACATTGTGCAACCATAATGAAAGACACATTTGGGTGAATTTTTTTTTTTTCCTGGTTTCTTTCATTACCAGCCTTGAACTCTGCCCAGAGAGATTAAATGCCAAGCACTTAACCCAGAGAGATTTAGCAATCCATTGGAAACAAGATCAAAGAAGCAAACAAAGAAGTAAAAAGGAAGAGCAAAACCCATCAAACCAAGAATCGATTCTTATTCAAGCTCAATAATCATTAAACCAAAAGTAAAAAACCTAAAAGATTGAAATCTTAACACCTTCCGGGAGAAAACCATAGCTGCGGCGAGAAATGGAGAGCATCGAAGCCATAAAAGCCGAAGCAGTCGCCGTGTGATACGGAAGCATCGATGCCACACAGAAACTCGCTTCGAACGGATACCTTAACACCAAAATTAGAAAACACATTATATATATATATATATATATATATATATATATATGTGGGGGGGTGGAGAATGCGTCCGTATATATATATGTATATATATATATATATATGTATATACATATATATCTTAGTTTTTTTATACATGCATGAGGTATATGTAATTTTTATATTTAAAAATTTATTTTAATAAATAATTTTTTATATTATGATAATAATAATAAACTATAATATTTTAATTATAATTTTGTTATAATAAATGTCAAATTTAATAACTTTTTATATAATTTTGATTTTAATAATTTTTTATAAAATTTTGATAATACTTGATATAATTTTGATAACCTTGGATATTAGTTTGATAATTTATTATATAATTTTGGTAATCATTTATAAAATTTTAATAATATCTTGATGAAATTTTAGTAACTAACTTTCTAGTAACTTGTGATATAATTTTAATAATTATTAATAAAATTTATGTCATGACATATTTAATAATAGATTCTTACAAAAAAAAAGGTTCAATTGTAGTATAAGATAATTTTTTATATAATAATATTATTGTTTTGTTCAAATTTATAATTTTTCATTAAATTTTTTTATTGAATATGTCCTAATAAGTTTTATCATAGTTTCTCAAAATGAAATTTCTAATTTTGTTTCTACTAATAACCAATGTTCAATTCTCGACATCTTTAAGTATAAAATAAATTTATCAATTATTAACAATTAAGTTGATATTGATTTACTATTATATTATTATCAATTTATTACAAAACTATTAATGATATATTGCTAAATTATCAACGATTTACTACTAATTTATTAATTATTTACTATTAAATTATGAATGATTTATTACTAAATTATTGATAATTTATTATAAAGTTATAATTGATTTACTATTAATTTATCAATAATTTACTACAAAGTTATCAATGATTAACTAATTCACTACTAAATTATTATTAATTTACAACTAAGTTATTAGTGATTTACTACTAAACTATTAATAATTTTATCTAAATTATCGATGATTTATTATTATTTCATTGTTCATTTACTATTATATTATTATTAATTTACTACTTGATTTTTGATTATTTATTACAAAGTCATTATAGTTTATTACAAAATCAACCATTACTCGTTAATAAGTTATTACTAATTTATATTAAATAATATATAATTTACTATTAAGTTATTTAACTATTAAGTTATTAATGATTAACTACTACGAAATTACATTGATTTACTTTTAAGGTTTCAATGATTAACAATTAAATTATATTGATTTACTATTAAGTTATTTATAATTTATTACTAAGTTTATCAATTAATAATTACTAAACTAAAACTAATTTATTATTAA